AGGAGAGGGAAGGAGGGGGAAGAGGAAGGGAGGGAAGGAAAAAAAAAAGAGGAGCTATATATGGCCAATTCCCTAAGGAGAAACCCTTGATTGTAAGCTGCATGGGAACAGAATCCTTGATTATTTTGCATCCCCATCACCAAATATGGTGTAACATAGAGATTGGCAAACGATTCTGGAGAAATAATATACCCATGGGTCTACAGGCTGTAGCTAGCCAACCCTTGGTGTAACATGTCACATTTTGAGATACAGGTTTAAATTGTTTCTCAATGATTTTTTTTTAAAGATCTCCTAGCTCTCAACATTAAACATGATCATTTATACACAATACATTTATATGTCTTAAATAAAAAATCAGGATATACAGCATATATTTTATATTATATATATTATACATTCTGAATATATTATGTATTCTGATTATAAGATACCCACCAAAACAAATATTTTCAAAAAATTACATGTTTCCTTAGGATTGCTACAGCATCACTTAGGAGGCAACCTTTCCTTGGAAGGACTCTTTGAAGTGCAGTTTGGGATAGCTGATCTCATTATCCTGATCAACAGCTTAATTCTCAAATAGAAAATGTGGCAAGAATATCAATTCAGCTCATGCTAGATTAAACAGTGAATTTAATTTAGAACTACCTCAACCCTAAGGCTGTTAGATAGAAGAAATTATGTTAGCTCAATTACAGCATGTCTATGAATTTTAATTTCTACCATTATCTGAAAACACAAGTTCCAATCCTGTCATTCTTTCTTCAAGTTTTCCACTTAATCCAGTAGACTGTGAATTCCTTCATTCTTTCTGCAGCAGTGGTAATGTGACCCTAAAGCTTGCCTTGAGTGTGCAGTGCAGTCAAAGTAATCAGAGATAATGATTTCATTAGCTCTTCAGTGCTGCATCCCGTGGAGCACCAGACTCAAATTCCTGAGTAATAAGAGATTTTTCCCCGCCTTTAATACTGACTGAAATGGAGTTCTTCTACTCACTGGCTATACATCCTTGGAAATATATATTTTAAAAATTGCAATGTTTTATGACAGCCACTAAATCTGCTTGATGACTGAATATTCAAATGCTCCTAAAAAGTCAGAACACATATTAGACTTGAAGCCTGTCACAGCTCTGCTCTCAGGACTTTGGAATATGCTAATTTTGCATACCATAACCACCCTTTGGCCAAGTGATATTAGCACCAATACAGGTCACTGCAATTTAGAAACAATAACTACACTTTCGTTTCTCAAAGTCATTTTATTAAAGGAGTAGGAAAGTTCTGCTTCCAACAAAGAATAGTTTGTATCTAACTAAACCTATCAGCAGACAAAAATACAATCTGTAGACAAAATATTAAATAGGCCGGGTGCGGTGGCTCAAGCCTGTAATCCCAGCACTTTGGGAGGCCGAGACGGGCGGATCACGAGGTCAGGAGATCGAGACCATCCTGGCTGACACGGTGAAACCCCGTCTCTACTAAAAAATATAAAAACTTAGCCGGGAGAGGTGGCGGGC